GTCCAAGTAAAACAAATCTAAAAGATGAGCTACTTATATTTAAGAAGGGGAAAGGGGGTCCTGCGTCTGTTGGCTGCTTGTTCCGGCCCTGCAGATCTGCACTGGCTCCTTCTCGAGCAGCTGCTGTAGGGGAAAGAGAGAATGCACTCAACGGCTGACACCAGGAAGTAGCAGATCACAAGCATACCATGGTAGGTATATTCTTGGTTCATATTCCTTTACTTGTTGTGTTGTAGGCGTTGAACCAAGTCTTTTCCAGCTCTGGCTTGTCCTTTAACAGCCGTCTGGTCTCTCATCGTGGCCTATGTGTCCGCCTGCCACCAACCAGCTTTCTTTGATGCCGACCTCCATCCCAAGTGGTGTCTGCTACTCTTCCTTGTGTTTCCTCTCTGTCGTGCCTGCTGCTCACCTGTCCACAATCAATTTAAAGACCAGCACTTGTTCTCTGCACCAATTGTGCTCTGTGGGATGTGTCACTCTATTAGTCTTTCCAGGTGTTTCTCATCAGTTCACTTTGATCCAGTCCAATGAATGTCCAAACCAATGAAACACAATAAAAACACAATCCATTCAATAACAAAACATGCAATCATAAAATAAAGATGAAATGTAAATATATACACATATAACCACACAATATGTAAAAACAAACAAATCAGGATCAAGTGATAAAATAACTGATGGGTCTCACTGTGATATTTTCTTCCCCTCTTTAACAGTGGTCAACCCGACCAACTACTCACAATACCTGGCTGGGGGTACCCCACAATTACCTCACCGTGAGCAACGCATGTCAGATTGCTCAGGCTCTGGGGGCTGCCGGTCCTGCTGGAGGGTCAGGTGGTTCGGCCTGACCTGGATCTGTTGGCTGTGTTGCCAGTGGCTGAATAGAGTTCATGATCAGACCAGGGAGCCACCAAGTGGGAGGGGGTAACTGTTTGGACTAGTCCACTACTGGAGTTTCTGGTTCTCCGGTTGACTCCTGACTGTCCTGAAACACATTTAAAGGGCAAGGTCAGAGGTTATTTCGGTGTACTGTACGTGTGGGTGCTTTCTTACCCTCTGGCCAAAGGACATAAACTGGGTGGCCCTCCCGTAATGGAGTCACCACAGCAAATGGTTCTGGGGTCCATCTCGGGGCCAACTTTCCTTTGGCCCTTCTGTGGAAGTTGCGGATGAGCACCCACTCACCTGGGAGCAGGGGTGCTAGGGTCAGGCCGTCTCCCCTTAAGGACATCACAGGATGGGACTCAGTGTCGTCGGCTCCTTTGGTGACTCCTACCCACCTTACTGCTACCTCTACCACATCTGGTGCCACGCTGTTGAGAACCAGCTCTTGTTCTCCTTGTACATCGGCTGGGGCAACCTCTGTCATCTGAGCTAATGGTTGGCGCTGTGGGACTTCCACTGGGTAGGGGTTGGGGTTGCAGATCCTGCAGGGTACTCGTCTTCCACTCAGGGTGGCTAAGGTTCGGCCCATCCGCCATTCAGTGTCACTGTCAGGGAGAGGCTCTATCAGCACCTCACAAGAGGGGTTAGCTGCACCTTCAGACACCTGTGTCCAGAGGATCATCTCTGAATGGGGTGGAACAATGACTGGTTGCTGCCGTGGTAATTTGGCCATGCACTGGTAAGGTGGAAGAGGCCCTCTGGTGGTGACTCACTGGCACTCTGCAAATGCTCGATCCCAGATCTGTCCTGCTGCAGGAGGCATGGTGGTTTTGAAAACCGACAACCCTGGGTGATTCCCCTGAGTGAGAGCAGACCATACAGGTTTAATAATGTTCATTCCAAGTATGCCCTTGTCTGGGCCCAAGCATTCATCATTGACAATTATTACACCTTTCCCAGAAACATGGACACTTCCTACCATACAGTCAACCAGAGCATAGCCCACATAGGAGATCTCCACACCGTTAGCAGCTCGTAGGGTCAGCCAGGGGGTGTTGCCAGCATTGGTCACTCCAGTTCCTTCCAGTTGCCTTCTGAACAAACTTTGGCTCAGCAGTGTGACCTGTGACCCTGTATCAAGAATGAAAGGAATAGGGCATCCATTTATTTTCACAACAACATCAGGGCACTCATCTACCAAGGCAGACGTGGACTGTGATGTGGGCTCCTTATCCTGGTTAACTGCCCCCACTGCTTGGCCCACAGCTGTAGGGGAGATTAAAAATCCTGCGGCCTCGCTGGTCTATGGGGACACAGGCGCTGAACGTGCCCAGCTACACCACAGCTCCGACAGATGGGTCTGCCCTGCACGTCCCACTGGTAGACTGGTGTCATGGTGCCTGCTAGCTGTCGTCTGGCCTGAGGGGCTCTTGGTACAGTGGTGCTGTGGTCCATGGGTGAAGTTGAAGGCACTTCTCTGGTTGAAAGCTGTGTCCTCATCTCTTCTAGTACGTTGGCAGACAGGGCTTTCATCTGTTCCATGATCTCTTTTCTCATTTCCCCCATCAGTCCTTGTTGCAGCTCAGCTCGTATCTGGTCCTTTAATGGTTCCATATTCACTGTAGTTGTGTTCTGTGAGGCTGTGGCAGAGACTTTTTGGGACAAGATTGTGTCTTCCCCATCTTGCAGCTCTTGTTCCAGGGCGCGAGCTTCTTTGTACATGTCTGTAAAGGTCATAGGATCATTTCGCCTTATCTGTCAGCTCAGTTCCTGTTTTATGGGTCCAGTTTTCAACCCACCCGTCAACTGATCAATCAAAAGATCATCCCCCTCCTCTCCAATTCTACCTTCGTCCTGCTCCTGCCAACTGAAAAAGAGTTCTCGCAGTCTTAATACAAAAGCACTGACATTCTCATCAGTACGTTGTTTGCAGTTAAAAAAACTAGCCCGTAGCTGTGCTTTGGTGACTGGTTTCGCATACAGTTTTTTTTAGAACATCCAGTACTTTTTTCACAAAGCTTCCAGGCTTCTCCAGGTGAGAAAGAGCTCTATTCAGGAGGAAGATAATGGCGTCCTCCACCCCAGTGCCAGGCTGGTAGGCAAACTGCAGCGGGTCCATTGAAGGGCCTACTGCGGGGCGGAGACGAGACAGGACCAGGTGCTCCAGAGTCTTCATGAGGTGTGATGTTAATGCCACCGGTCTGAAGCTGCTGAAGTCCTTGGGGTGAGTCTTGGGCACAGGTACCACACAGGATGTCTTCCACAGCTGTGGTACTCTCCCCAGCCTCAGGCTCAGGTTGAAGATGGTTTCAACTATCCTGCACAGTTGGTCTACGCAGGACTTGAGGAGCCTGGAGCTGATGCCATCTGGACCCGCAGCCTTCCTCGTCTTTATCTTCTTCAGCTGATTTCTCACCTGACAGGTAGTGAAGGACAAGCTGGAGCAGGGGGGCTGTGTGCTTGGGGATGGAGGTGATGAGGTGGGGGGTGGTGAGATGTCCGGGGGAGCGGGGGTGGGGGAGGTGTTGAAGCAGTGTGCCAAGAGTGTAGGTGGGGGGGGAAGGTGAAGGTGAGGATGAGGGGGGTTGCAGCCGTGATGTCTGGGCCAGGGGAGGGGTAGACTGATCAAATCTATTGAAGAACAGATTCAGATCATTCACCCACTTCTGGTTGCCTCTGGCCTGGGAGTCCAGTTGTTTGTGACCTGAGATGGTTTTCAGACCTCTCCAGACTCCGCTGACATCACCCTGCTGCAGCTGTTCCTCCATCTTCTTTTTATATCCTTCCTTTCCCCACCTGATGTTTCTCCGTAGCTCCTTCTGCACGGCCTTCAGCTCTCCGCTTCTCCTTCAGGAGAGCTTTTAACTCTGGAATAATCCAGGGTTTGGTGTTGGAGAAGCAGCGTGCAGTCCTGGTGGGTACAATGCTTTCCACACAGAATTTAATATAATCCGTAATGCATGATGTCATACTGTCAATGTCCTCCCCATGGAAATCGCTGAGTACCTCCCACACAGTGGAAGCAGACTGTCTCGAAGCAGTCTTTCAGGTTGCTGGTTCCCTCTGCACCAGAAGTCTGTAGACAGGCAGAAGATGAACCAGGTTGTGATCAGCTCTTCCCAGGGGGGGCAGGGGGGATGAGTGGTATGCCTCCTTGGTGTTGGCATAAAATAAATCCAGTGTTTTATTGTCTCTGGTGTGGCAGGAAACATACTGGGTGAAGGTGGGCAGGGTGGTGGATGGACAGGCGTGGTTGAAGTCCCCAGAGATCAGAAGGAGGGCCTGAGGGTTCTGTGTTTGCAGCCTACTTGTAACAGAGTGGAGAATGTCACAAGCCAGACAACATGTGACTATTGTGCAATTGTTAACTGCATTTGTGTAAATATATCAAGTTAATCCGTTAATCTGTATTAGCCCAGTGGGAGAAGCAACAGCTCTGGTCCTTATTTCAACTCAACTCCCCCGTCTCCTCCCTGCCCTGAGCTGAGCTGTTTCACAGGCTGAGGCTACAGAAAACGAACGATTCACTCACTCACTCACTCACTCACTCACTCACTCACTCACTCAGTAGCTCAAACTCCCAGCTCACCGGCAGCACAAAGCTCACTCGCACTCTCTCCCTGCCCGGAGAGTCCCTCCCTTACCTGAGTAGTGTGCTCACTCTGGGTGACTGACTCAAATGACTTGAAAACCCGATTCACTTTAGTGAGTGACTCATACAAACTCGAGTCAGTAAAAGGAACTCGGTACTAAAAACCAACTCCAGATTCATGAATGCCATGGAAAACTTCATCATAGGCACGTGTGTATGTTCATGAATGCCAATCAATTGTAAATTCACAGCGCGCTCCTACTAGTCAGCAATTACCATACATCCCTCCCAAGAATAGCCAGTGACCACCATATATGGAGGTGATAATTACTATGGATAGGTTCATCCTTTCAACCTGAGCACACAGAGCAAAGAAAGAAAGAAAGAGAAAGAGAGAAAAAGGAAAAATTGTCCAATGCTGAGACTGAAATTATTTTAGGTGAAGTGGGGTTTAGAAAAACATTTTATTTTCTTCTGTTAGTAGTGGTGTGTCAGAGACAGGTATATCAAGGGCTTGGAAGGAGGTAACGGGTGCCGTCAAGTCCGTGTCATCTGTTGTAGTTTACCAAACAACGCCTGGAAGAAGACCAACTCTGCTCTTAGGATTTCTGGTAAGCAGGCTATAACATGGTGCTGGTTATGGTCACTAAGCAACCTTAGCGTGCCCTTGAAAGTTGGCAGAGTAGGCACAAGAGCAGCACCCAGTGTAGCATCCCCGGTTGAATGATGGTCTTACTCTCCAACTGATGGTTCACAAGATCTTTATTTATGATACTTGTAGCTCCAAACATTGCTGTGAACACACCGTAAGAGCTAGGAAGAAAACAAAAAACGACAAAAATATTACTTTTCTTCCATCCCTTTGAACCTTACAATATTCAATAATATTTAACCACAGTTCAAATACATTTACTGTAATTTAAAGCTTAAATCTGAAAATGAATTGACTTTGCTATTCAAGTAAAACTATTAAATGACCCTTTTTAACTGTTTTTAGCAATTAGTGACAATCTCCAATAGAGTGCTATGATGTAGGCAAGCATATCTAACCTGAAATATTTATTCACACTCTGTGCTGCAATAATACAACATAAATCATACAAAAATGTGCAAATTACACATAAACTGCAGTTTCAAGAGCTTTCTCCCATGTTCAAATTTACTGCAGTTATTGCAAGACTAATCTTAAACTTAAACACAAATTTCCTCTTAGTAGCAGGCTTAATTCAACCAAGGAATAGCAATGACAACAGAATTTCTTTGTGTCGCGGCTAATATACCAATTAAGCTAGCCTACACATACAGCCCCAACAGTTACTCAGTACAAACTCTGAAAAAAAAAAAAAAAAAAACTTCTAAGAAAAGGCATTATAATGTGACTCAATGTTGCACACAAATGACATATAAACCGACAAACCTTGTGCCCTTTTCAACCAGGTGCTAATTAACAAAAGCATGGCATTTTCGTTCGTCTGGAAGAAGCACTTGTAAACATCTACCGTCGTGCACGTCTTTTACTTCCTACCGCATTCTGCCTTCAAAATAAATGCACCTTCAAAATAAAAGCACCCATTTTATAATTTCACAAAATGAGACAAAATCAACATAGGTCACAAGAAAGCATTAATAAACTGAACAAACATCGTAATTTAGGTCATTTACACTCCCATCGATCATGAGTGATTTTCAGAACAATAAGGGATGTAAACACGAATGATCCACTCAATAATGACTTTAAACTCTTAAAGGCTTATTCCGTACTGCAAGTCCATTCAACCACATATTAGTCTATCAGAATGTCCAAACATCAGACTCTTCATACTGTAAATTATATGGTTGTGGAGTGAAGAGGGGATTCAAACAGTCTCTAGGAGAACGATCAGCTTCTGAATTGGGCGCTCGACAATGGATGGCTTGCCAGAACGCTGTCCTTCCTTTCCAGTCTTCTGGTCTCCGAGACGAATCTTTACCTTTCTTATGAGTCCATCTGTATCAGTCACTGTCTCTACAACTTTGGCTAATCTCCACTCGTTCCGTGGCAGATCATCTGCCCTCTCCATGACTATGTCCCCGACCTTCAGGTTTCTTCTTGGAGTATGCCAGCATTGTCTGGTAGCAATCTGAGAGAGGTATTCTCTTTTCCAGCGACTCCAGAATTGCTCTGCAAGATACTGCACATGACGCCACCTCTTACGAGCGTACATGTCCTCTCTGATGAATCTGCCAGGAGGAGGTAAGGCTGCAACAGACTTCATAGTGAGCAGGTGATTTGGTGTTAGTGGTTCAGGACTGTCTGGATGACTCAGGTTGTCAACTGTGAGCGGACGACTGTTCACAATAGCCATTGCCTCGTAGAAGAATGTACGCAGAGAGGCATCGTTGAGCCTGCCTGATGAGAGTGAGAGAGTGGCACGAAGAACACTCCTTACCGTTCTGATTTGTCTCTCCCAGACACCTCCAGCATGGCTTGAGTGGGGAGCATTCATGATGAAATCACACTGCTTCTCAGCCAAAAGTGTAGTCAGGCGCTTATCATCCACTTGCTTTAGAGCTTGACGTAGTTCGTTTTTAGCGCCGACAAAATTACTCCCCTGGTCACACCGTATCTGGCGGACGGCTCCTCTTATGGCAATAAAACAGCGAAGGCTGTTAATGAAGGCATCTGTTGACATGTCATCCAGCATTTCAATGTGGACAGCTCGACAGCAGAGGCATGTGAAAAGGAGACCGTATCTCTTGTGAATCTTGCGTCCTTGCTTGATGTGAAATGGACCAACGCAATCCATTCCACAATATGTGAATGGGGGAGATGGATCTACACGCTCTGACGGCAGATCTGCCATTCGCTGCTCTTCTGCAGACCTCCTGAGTTTTTGACATTTGACACATTGGCGCACATATGCAGCAACAGTTCTGTTGATTCCTAGGATCCAGAATCCATTTGATCTGATCTCATTAATAGTAAGACCTTTTCCCTGATGTCTAACCTGTTCATGATAATGAGCTATTATCATGCTGGTGATATGATGATCCTTTGGAATTATCACTGGATGTTTCTGTGATGTAGGGAAAGATGCATTTTTCAGCCTTCCTCCCACCTTGAGGATTCCGTCTTGGTCAAGAAAGACATCCAAGTGATACAGTTTACTCTGAGGTGTAAGTTGAGTTCCCTTACTGAGCAACTTAATTTCGTCTGGATACACTCGACTTTGTAAGTCTTTTATGACAATGCACTGTGCATCTTCTCGCTCCTGAACTGTGCTGTGACCTGTTGACTTGTCACTCTTGACACGGCGGAGGAGACAAGCGACAGCTTGAGTGGCCTTGTACCATGAAGAAAATCTTGACAAACGGTCTGAGAGACTTACTTGCTCTGTGCTTTGCACATGTAGTGTCTGAACCTTTTTGACTTCAGGATCTCCAATTGGTATTTCTGTGATAACATCTGCAGCTGGAGGTATCTCCTTCTCCCACAAGAACTGAGGTCCTGTAAACCAAGTGGATGTGAGAAGTTCGTTTGCACTTGAACCTCTTGAGGCTAGATCTGCAGGGTTTTTGTCAGTCGGAACATACCTCCACTGCTGAGGAGTTGTGCTGAGATGTATCTTCTGTATCCTATTCGACACAAATGTGTGGAAGCGACGTGCCTCATTGCTGATATACCCCAGAACCACCTTGGAGTCCATCCAGAAGTATTCATTGATGTCGGCAAGACCAAGCTCCTCTTTCAGGATGTTGCTTGCCTCGACTGAGACAACGGCAGCCGTCAACTCTAACCTGGGGATAGTTATGACCTTGATAGGAGCTACTCTGGACTTTCCTATGACCAGAGCACAATGAACAATGCCATCTTCATTCACATGTCTCAAATACGAACACTGGCCGTAACCATAGGTGCTTGCATCAGAGAAGTGGTGTAGCTCTCTTCTCACAACATGTCCAAAATCAGGTGGTACATAGCAGCGAGGTATGTTGATTTTTTCCAAGTTCGCAAGATCACTCTTCCAGCGTTCCCACACCGACTGTAGTTCACCAAGGAGAGGGTCATCCCATCCAGTGCCATGCCTGCACATTTCCTGAAGCACCTTCTTCCCATTAAGCAGGAAGGGAGCAACAAACCCTAATGGGTCATAAATGGAGGCCACCGTGGATAGTATGCCACGACGTGTTGCCGACTGATCTTTCAGGCAGATTCGAAATCTGAGGGTGTCGGACTCAATGTGCCAATGGATCCCTAAGGCTCTTCCCAACGTGGAATCATTGAAGGCGAGATCAAGAGCCTTTACTTCAATGGTACGCTCAGATGGGGTTATACTCTGTAAAACTGACCTGTTATTAGACACAAACTTGTGCAGTCTCAGTCCACCCATAGTGCAGAGTTTCTGAGCTTCCTTTGCAAGCTGAATAGCTTCATCTACACTTGGTATACTTGTGACACCGTCGTCAACATAAAAATCTCTCATAATGAACTCTGAGGCAAGGGGAAACAAGTTCTCGTTCTCCTTGGCGAGATGTTTCAGTCCATAGTTGGCGCATCCAGGCGATGATACGGCACCAAAAAGATGAACCTTCATGCGGAATTCCTGTGGCTCTGCACTCAGGTCTCCGTCTTTCCACCAGAGGAAACGTAAATAGTCTCTGTCAGCTTCACACACATGGAACTGGTGAAGCATCTTCTCGATATCGCACATCAGTGCAATATGTTGCTGCTTGAATCTGATGAGGACGCCAGTTAGATTATTTATCATATCTGGGCCTGACAGCAGGTGGTCATTTAGGCTGGCTCCCTTGTATTTAGCAGAACAATCAAAAACAACACGGAGCTTCTGTGGTTTTTTGGAGTGATAGACCCCATGGTGGGGGATATACCACCTTTCTCCTTCCTTTCCCTTGTCATGAACTTCTTCTGCATCACCCTTTTCAATTACCTCACTCATGAACTTCATGTAATGCTCCTTGTAGGTTTCATCCTTCAGCAACTTTCTCTTAAGATGATTGAGCCGGACAATGGCCAGTTGCTTGTTGTCAGGGAGGTAGGGTCTCTCTTTAAAGGAGAGTGGCATCTCATAATGACCATAAATGTTTTTCTGAATACTGTCCCTTAATATCTCCAGGAAGAGTATGTCATCCTGAGACACAGCCTTGCCATCCTTACTGGCATCCTTAAAGTCAGACTCAAGAACCTTGATAGCATCTGATGGAGTCACTGGAGGAAGCTCTCTGACAGCAACTCTGTGGCACACATTGGTGATACCTGGTGAGTCAAGATGAGGGGATGAACAACCTACAATACTCCACCCTAGATCTGTGTGAACTGCATAGGGTTCATTGTCCCCTCCCAAGATTACTTGCCGTGGTGCCAGTGCCCTTGAACAGTTGTATCCTATTAAAAGACCAACTTCACACTCCAGCTGTGGTGGGATTTCATCTGCTATGGCGATGAGATGATTCCAGTACCTTGCCGTTTCACAAGTCGGAATGTGTGTTCGATTCACTGGTATGCAATCTTTGGTGTAGGCAGGAGGGAGATCAATGAGGATTGTGGAGCTATAGCCACACACTCTGAGACCTGAGACCCTTTCACTGTGCATTAATTCATCTTTTCCAATCATTGTAGTTAGCTTCAGCCTTACAGGATGTGCCTTGGCTTGTAAGCTATGGCTAACGTCTTGGTCAATGAAGACTGTGTCACTTTGGGTGTCAAGCAGGGCATAAACAAGCATTTCCATACCTGGATTGCTGACAGAGGAAACCCATACTGGCACAATCATGGAGGTGTTGGAAGATGGCTCCTCAGTCTCCACGCTGAGAGACAATGTGGTTGCTGCTTCGTCATTTGTGGTGCTCTGAGTTGAGATCAACACTGGCCTAGCTTTAGAGAAGCTGTCATCATGGAGGCAGGTTGGATGTCTTCCCTTGCATGTGTCACATGAGTGTCTGTGACGGCATTCCTTTGCACTATGCCCTGGCTTCAAGCAACCATAACACAGTTTCCTTTCTTTCACATATTTTCGTCGTTCATCAAGAGACTTCCCTTTGAACTCAGGACAACTGTGCAGGCGATGTTTACTGTCTTGACAGAGCATGCATGGTACCTTTAAACCTGTCCTTAACTGCACTGGGTTTTCAGTCTCTGTAACCGTCTGTGTATGGACAACACTGGATTTAGTCTTCTTTTCTTTGAGATAACCTTTGTCTGTAGGTGACTCTGACGAGCGAAGAGCATGAAAGGAGGTTATGGGATTACAAGCAACCTCTGCTTCCATTAACATGAAGGTAACAAAATCCTGAAAGCTTGGAAATTCCTGCCTTTCTTTCATAACTTGAGTGACTTCACGGTTCCACCGTGATGCTGCCCAGTCAGGTAACTTTTGAACCAGCTTTTGATTTTCCTCACAGTCATTCAAAATATCAAGGCCTTTAACATGTGGCATGGCTCCCTGACATGCGTGTAGAAAATGTGCAAATGTCCTGAGTCCCTCAGCATCCTTTGGCTGGATTTTCGGCCAGTTTGCTAATTTTTCTCTGAACGCTCTCTGTAGGATAAAGGGCTATCCATACCTGTGGTTGAGACGGTTCCATGCATCTTTATAGGCAGCATCATCATTTCTATAAAAGATGCCATCAAGTGTCTTTCATGCTGGACCTCCTACATACTTTCTCAAATAATGCAATTTGTCTGCTGACGAGATGTTCTTTCTGTCTATGAGTGATGTGAAGGAAGCCTTCCACTCAATGAACTGGATAGGATCACCAGTGAAAACAGATGGTTCTGGCATTGGGAGCCTATTCATGGCTATAGTATCTTGGACTGCTTGAGCAAGATATGAAACATCTGTCTGTGGAGGTAATGCTGCATTTAGAACATTAATGGGCTGCTGGATGGGAGCTGAGGACACCGGTTGCTGTGGAGAGACATGCTGCTGTCCTCTAGTGTTGTGGTCAGCTGAGTAGACATTATCCTCCTGCATTACTTCCTGGTTGTAGACCACCAGTCTTGCTCGTGCAGCTTTAATGTCCTTTTCTGCCTTTAGTCTTTCTAGCTCACGTTTCTGAGCTTCAATATCTCTTTTCTGCTGTTCTTCTAGGAGCTGAATCTTCTCCTTTTGTTTTTCCTCCTCCAATAACACTTCATACTCTGCTTCTTTAGCTGCTAACTCTGCTGCAGCATCTGCCCTTTTAGCTGCTACAATGGAGTTCACAGAGTGTCGACTGGAACTGTTACCAGAGTGTTGGCTTGAAGGTGAGACTGTAGATCCATAGATGGAGGGAGCATAGTCTCTTTTAAGCAGCTCACGAAGACGTTGTTTTACTGCCTCACCGTCATAATCTTCTACATCTGCTATTCTCTCATAGGCAATTTTAACAATGTCCTTTGTCACCGCATCACAGGCATCAATACGATGTCTTGTCTCACTGGATGGAGTCAGGTGACTTCTAATTTCCATATAGAGGCTAGTAACATCATCCTTACTTTCCTCTAGAGAGTCTATAAGAGCAGCAATTTGGCTCTCAGGAATGTCCGACTTTAGCTGCTCTCTAGCCTTGCGTGCCTGGGTCTTCCATTGATCATAAAGGTGAATGAGCCTTTTTTCCTTTTTGTGAGCCTCCTCCTTCTGAAATGCAAGCATCCTCTCTGTGGGATTCCATGTGCGACCAGAGCGGCGAAGTTCCTCCTCTTCGCTGGCCTGACAGGCATCCATTGTCTGGTCTGCATCTCTACTGTCTAGAGTTGAGTTATCAGATGCTTCCATTGTGGCAGTGTCACAACCTTAAACCATCACATCAAGTCTCTCTGCAGTCATCATGGGTATCAGAAGCATGATGGGACTGATGAGGTGAAGCTCTTACTGTAGCATCCCCGGTTGAATGATGGTCTTACTCTCCAACTGATGGTTCACAAGATCTTTATTTATGATACTTGTAGCTCCAAACATTGCTGTGAACACACCGTAAGAGCTAGGAAGAAAACAAAAAACGACAAAAATATTACTTTTCTTCCATCCCTTTGAACCTTACAATATTCAGTAATATTTAACCACAGTTCAAATACATTTACTGTAATTTAAAGCTTAAATCTGAAAATGAATTGACTTTGCTATTCAAGTAAAACTATTAAATGACCCTTTTTAACTGTTTTTAGCAATTAGTGACAATCTCCAATAGAGTGCTATGATGTAGGCAAGCATATCTAACCTGAAATATTTATTCACACTCTGTGCTGCAATAATACAACATAAATCATACAAAAATGTGCAAATTACACATAAACTGCAGTTTCAAGAGCTTTCTTCCATGTTCAAATTTACTGCAGTTATTGCAAGACTAATCTTAAACTTAAACACAAATTTCCTCTTAGTAGCAGGCTTAATTCAACCAAGGAATAGCAATGACAACAGAATTTCTTTGTGTCGCGGCTAATATACCAATTAAGCTAGCCTACACATACAGCCCCAACAGTTACTCAGTACAAACTCTGAAAAAAAAAAAAAAAAAAACTTCTAAGAAAAGGCATTATAATGTGACTCAATGTTGCACACAAATGACATATAAACCGACAAACCTTGTGCCCTTTTCAACCAGGTGCTAATTAACAAAAGCATGGCATTTTCGTTCGTCTGGAAGAAGCACTTGTAAACATCTACCGTTGTGCACGTCTTTTACTTCCTACCGCATTCTGCCTTCAAAATAAATGCACCTTCAAAATAAAAGCACCCATTTTATAATTTCACAAAATGAGACAAAATCAACATAGGTCACAAGAAAGCATTAATAAACTGAACAAACATCGTAATTTAGATCATTTACACCCAGCACTTGACCTCATATTTTCCAGGCGGTGAAAGACGCAGCATGTGTACAGCCCCTTAAATGACCTTGCTCCTCCATACATCAGAGATTTTCTTTCATTTTATATTCTAGCCAGATCATTGAGGTTCTCCACTGCTTTACTTATGTGCCCCATTGTGTGTCCCAGACCTTTTACTCTGGCTTTTAATGTGGAATAGCATTATCATCTTCATTTTAAGTTTTAATCATTAGTTTTTACCTTATTTCCTGTTTTTTACTCCTTTATTTAGTTTATTTTTATTCTATAGATTTTAATTTATCAATTTTTTTGTTTGTTTGTTTTGTTTTTAAAATTGTATTGTCTTATTGTTGTAACTTTCTAGTCTTGCAATACCTCATATATAGTTGTTTGTGTTATCCTTTAAACTGTGTCTGTGTTATTTCAGTTTTGCCACGTGAAGCACTTTGGGCTGCATGTTTGTATGAAAGGTGCTGGATAAATTAAGTTGAGTAGAATTGAGCTATTCCCTTTTTCCAAATAAATAATAAATTGTGATTTGAAAAATATTAGTAGTTGTTAGTAATTGGTATTGAGTAGAAACAGAACACTTTGCAGCCGCTATCATTAAAATTTAGAGAATTTTGAGGTACTTGTACTTGAGTATTTGTATTTAATGCAGCTTTAAACTTGTACAAAATATAATCAACTAATAAATGATGATGTACAGTACAGGCCAAAAGTTTGGACACACCTTCTCATTAATGCGTTTTCTTTATTTTCATGACTATTTACATTGTAGATTCTCACTGAAGGCATCAAAACTATGAATGAACACATGTGGAGTTATGTACTTAACAAAAAAAGGTGAAATAACTGAAAACATGTTTTATATTCTAGTTTCTTCAAAATAGCCACCCTTTGCTCTGATTACTGCTTTGCACACTCTTGGCATTCTCTCCATGAGCTTCAAGAGGTAGTCACCTGAAATGGTTT